TAAACCCATACATCTTTGGTCAGTTGATTTTTAACAAAGGAGTCAAGACAATTCAATGGGGAAAGAATAGTCGTTTCAAAGGGTGCTGGGATAACTGGATAATTACATGCAAAAGAATGAAATTAGACCCTTACCTCACACCATATACAAAAATTAACTCAAAATGGATGAAAGATCAAAATGTAAGAACTAAAACTATAAAATGCTTAGAAGAAAACATAGGCATAAATCTTTATGACCTTTAATTAGGCAAGTCTCTTAGACACCAAAAGCATAAGCAAACAAAGAAAAAAATGGGTAAATTAGACATCAAAATTCATAACTTTTGGGCTTCATAGGACACTATCAAGAAAGTGAAAAGACAACCCCAGGAAAGAAAGAAAATATCTGCAAATCATATATCTGACAAAGGTCTACTATCCAAAATATACAAAGAAGCCTTACAACTCAACAATAAAAAGGCAACCTAATTAAAAAGTGGGCAAAAGATCTCAATAGACATTTCTCACCAAAAAAAAAAAAAGATATACAAATGTCCAGTAAGTATGGGGAAAGATGCTCAACATCAACAGTCATTAGGGAAATATAAATCAAAACCTCCATGAGATACCACTTTACCTCCACTAGATGGCGATAATCACAAAGACAGACAATAACAAGTGTTGGGAAGGATGTGAAGAAATCAGAACCCTCAATACATTGCTGTTGGGAATGTAAAATGGTGCATGCAGCTAATATGAAAATGGTATGTCGGTTCCTCAAAAATTCCAACACAGGCCAGGCGCGGTGGCTCACGCCTGTAATCTTAGCACTCTGGGAGGCCGAGGCGGGCGGATGGTTTGAGCTCAGGAGTTCGAGACCAGCCTGAGCAAGAGCGAGACCCCGTCTCTACTAAAAAAAAAAAAAATAGAAAGAAATTATCTGGACAACTAAAAATACATAGAAAAAATTAGCCGGGCATGGTGGCGCATGCCTGTAGTCCCAGCTACTTGGGAGGCTGAGGCAGTAGGATTGCTTGAGCCCAGGAGTTTGACATTGCTGTGAGCGAGGCTGACGCCACGGCACTCTAGCCAGGGCAACATAGTGAGACTCTGTCTCAAAAAAAAAAAAAAGAATGAAGTACTGATAAATGTTGTAACATGGATGAACCTTGAAAAGACTGTGCTCGGTGAAAGAAACCAGACACAAAAGACAACATATTACATGATTCTATCTGTATGCAATATTCAGAAGAGGCAAATCCATATAGAAAGGATTACAAACGATACAAAAGTCGTTATCAGGGGTTGAGAGGAGGGAAGAATGAGGAGTGCCGGCTAATGAGTACAGGGGTTTCTTTTTGAGGTGACGAACATTTTCTGGTATTAGATAGCAGTGATAGTTGTAAAACCTTGTAAATATACTAAAAACTGAATTGTACCCTTTAAAGTGGTAAATTTTATGAAAGTACATCTCAATTTTTCAAAATCACATTTTTTTTTCTGGTCAAGCGAAGCAGTGTGAGTGGTCAAGGAATAAAGGAATCTGTAACTGGTTGTGATCAATTAGTTGTAAACATCACTGCCCTCGGACCAACCCAAAATCACATTTTAATTAAATGAAAATGAAAACACATCAAAATTTGTGTGACACAACTAAATCACTGCAGAGAGGGAAATTTATAGCACTAAGTGTTTACATTAGGAAAGAGGGAAAGTCCGAAATCAGTAAACTGAGCTCCCATCTCAAAACTAGAAAAAGTAGAGCAAAGTTAACCCAAAGCAAGCGGAAGGAAGGACAAATAAAGATAAAAGCAGCAACCAATAAAATTGAAAACAGAAAGACAATAGAGAAAAATCAATGAAACAAAATGTGGTTCTTTGAAAAGATCAATAAAATTAACCAACCTCTAGCAAGATTGACACAAAAGAGAAGGCAAAAATAACTAAGGATTGACATCAGGAATGATACAGAGGATATCACTAGAGACTTGGAAGACATCAAAAGGATAATAAGGAAATACTATGGACTCTACAAACATAACTTTAACAATTTAGATAAAAATAGACCAATTCCTTAAAAAGCACAGGCTACCACAACCCATCTAATACGAAAGATAATTTGAATAGCCTTGTGAAGATTAAGGAATTGAATGTTAATTAAAAACTTCCCAAAAACAAATCTCCAGGCCCATGTAATTTCACTAGAGAATTCTACCAAACATTTTAAGAAAATTTAACATGAATTCTGATTAAAGAAATCAAAGAAAATCTAAATAAATAGAGGCATACTGTGTTCATGGAAAACCCAATCAAGTAAAGATGTCAACTCTCCCCAAACTGAGACAAGTAGACTTTTCTAAAATACACACACATACTTAGACCCCACCCCAGACCTAAGAACTCATAATTGTAGGGATAAAACCCCAGGCATGTATTGTTAGGAAAAAAAGCCCATCATCGCCCCAAATCATTCTGATTTCTAGCCTAGAATGGCAGCCTCCCAGTCAGTATCCTAGAGTCTTGGCTCAGAGTCCTGTTCTCTAACGACCCACCAAGTTGACATCAATCCAGCACAAAAGTCTATAAGCCTCCTCCTGGACCCCCTTCACTGGCAGCCTCCCCGAGCAACCATGCTGCCCACTGGTCACCACATGAATTTTATTGAGGACAGTTCTGAGCCTTCAGCTGATATGAAAGAGATAGCCCACATAATCAGATTAATATATTATGAGAAAGGGTTGATTATGGTGCCACAAGCTTCCTTCTTCTTTCTGCCCTCCCTGAACCCTCCCAGAGGGGCCCAGGGAAGACCTGTAGGAATGAAAAGTGTCTGTCCTTGCTTCACGGAACACTTGTAGCACTTGTCCACCTGGTCCCCAAAGAACATCTCATTCTGATTAGAAGAACTGCTCCAGCACTCAAAGAGAGTCAAATTGGCATTTGTTGGGCGGATCAGGTAGAAGATCTTCTCACCCTGAAACAAAAAGAGATTGAAGTGCCAAAAATACCAAGGTTTCCAGAAAAGTCCTTCAGGGGTACTCCAAAGAGCTATTCTCTCTTTCATGCTCCAAAACCATGGCAATGTGCCAGAATTCTTTCCCAAACTCATCCAAGAATCATTTTTATGTGGATTTAGAAAATTTCGAAAAGGTCTTTTTGCTTTTTGTACTTTTAAGTTTCTATAAACTTGATAAAAACAATTTAAAAAGGACATTTCAAACAAAATTGTTCAAGTTAGGACAAATGTACACCAAGTGTTCCTATTTTAGATGCAATGCCAAATGAAAAATGGCCTTTGTAGATGAGTAGATCAATACTACTAGCCTTAGGAGAATTTAAGGCCACATTACTTACGAGAAGAAAATTGAATGTGCCTTTAAATGCCATTTACAGAGTGTTCCTTCTCACACCTACAATCAAAGCTAATAAAAGTTTAAAAGTTCAGTAATCGCCCAAGGACTTCTGAAAGATTATATGTTAGGTGATTATTTGTTGGAGGAACATTTTATTTCCTAATTGTATTTTGCCGGGATAATCATCAGACAGATAATTTGGCAAAAAAGAAACAAAACCCCAATAGCACAAAAATATCCTCAAAGCTTAACCGGTTTAACCAATATTTCACAACAAATTTTCAGTGTAGAAAAACAATAATACAAGAAATATCTATTGTATAACTGGAGAAATCGGAATCAAATCTGTAGATTAATTAATAGTATATTAATGTTAATTTCCTGATTTTGATAACTATACTGATTATATAAGAAAATGTCTTTGTTTTTAAGAACTACACACTGAATTATTAAGATAAAGGAACACTATTATCTGTAACTACCCTCAAATGTCTCAGAAAAAAATATATATGTAACTATTTTATTATGTTTGCTTTAGAGAAAGAGAATATAATAAAGCAGTAACATTTGAGGAATCTGGGTGAAGGGCACACAAGGATTCTTCCTATTATTTCTGTACCTTTTCCATAAAAATGAAATTATTTGAAAATAAAAAAGTTAAATCTAACATTTGGTTAATAGCACTTCCGTTTATATATTCCAATTTCTCCAGGATAAATCAATGAAACAACTAGTTAAGGATTTGAGATCATTTGGACAAGAGCCACAATCCAAGTTTTCTGTTCTTCCCTTGGCATTTCTGATAATAAAACTAAATAGTATGAACAGTGGTGAAAAAATAACAAAAAAATAAAATAAAAATAAAAAGTAAACAATGGTGAAAATCAAAACTATTTGTTCTCCAGACCTCAAAAATCCTTTATAGTCACTGACAATGAATACACTAATTACAAAATTACAACAACCACTAAAATGAAAACTGTCCATAGGAATCCTGACTTTAAAAAGACTTCTCATATATCCCTGTGTTAGCAGTTAAACAACCATATACAATGGTCAAAACTCAACAAACTATACAATTAAAATGGATGAATGTTATGGTATACAAATTACACCTCAATAAAGTTGGGGGGAACTTTCTCATGTTATCAGGAATTTCTGAAATAAATATGAACATTTTCATACATGTTGGTAGGATTATAAATTGGCTCAATTAAGAAGGTAACACCATTTGGAAGGGGTTGTTAAAAAAAGAGAAGGTAACAGCTGGAAAAACCTGAGGCATCTGTTATTCAAAAAATTTTTTGATTAAGCATCAAAAATGTAAAGTAGAGACAGACCATCATTAGTATATATGGCACCACTACCAAGTACTCAACCCTGATAGAGTAGTTATGTGGAAATGTCACCCAAAGAGAATCCAGGAGCCAGACAGGCCTCAACAGCCTGTTTTGTGCTGCCATCTGACACATAAAGGGAGGCCCAAGGTCTGGCTGCCTCCAGAAGCCATATGCATTCCTACCTTGAGTACATGGTACCAGACTGAGGTGCCACCAAAGTCAATGTGAAAGTCTGTATAGCTATCCCGCACACTCATAAGGCAATACTTCTGCACATTAGGTCTCTCAAAGACACACTCCTCCGGCCACAAGTTCTCGACCCATGACAGCTTTCGAACAATCTTGGGTGTTTCCACAAGGTTAGAAAGCCTAGCAAGGAAGGGGTAGAAAGCAGGTGTCAGCTGACTGGGAATTGAAAGTTGAAGCCTGAATAAAATACTCTACATTTCAGTGAGAGTCAGATAAGACAGAGAACAAGTTCCCTCCACAGAATCCCCAAAGGAACATAGGGCACTTATTTCTTTAAGACTGGTCAATATCCTCATTCTCTGCAGCTGAAGTCCCAAGTTCCAGCTTCACAGCCTTCCCCAGTTGAAGGGGCTTATTTCCTCCACTAAATGCTCAAACTCTCCCATCCTATCCCAGTCTACTCACTTTGCACTTGATTTATAAAAGTTATCATACTGTCCCCATCTCAGTGTCTTCCTTGTGAGAAATCACTAGAGAAAGCTCTCAGGGCTCGAATCCAGGTAAAGCAGTGTTTCTCTGAAACATCTGGGTGTTTTTATCCTATGCAAAGCCACAAATCTTATAACATTGTACTTCACTCTTTGTTCTGACCTTCAGGAAATTCAGTGAAAACTCTATGGTCCATCTCCACCAACTGTCCAGACATTCATACATTCATTTTATATGCAGAGTACTCACCAGATGCATCCTACGTTGCCACTTTTATTCTCCTTTTGCTCCAATTTTCTTTTTTTTTTCCCCTCTCTGTATCTCTGTAAGCTACCTCAAATAGTCTTTCAGGATGAAGTGAGGTATAAATAAACATAGCTTTTTTACTTGCCCATACTATATTGGGATAACAAATACAGCTTTTTAAACACCCCAGGTTTAATCTTGCATCTTAAAAACAGCAACTAAGGGTCTTAATATTTTACTATAATTATGTTAAATGGTACTGTTGGGGGAAAATGGCTGAAGAGTACACAAGACCTTCCTGTACACTTTTTTGCAACTTCCTGTGAGTCTATAAAAGTTAAAAATGTAAATAATCAGACAGTAAGCTTCCTAAGGGTAAAAAGCTACATTATGATTTCTTGGTATTTCCCACACTTCTGAGCACAGAGAAGACTATGTATCTATTGAGTGTGAGTCCAGATAGAACCATTTAAAGGTTATAACATAGCTTTCTTTTTCAATCTAAGAAACCTTATCCTTAGAGAAACTACTTGGGGGTAATTTTAGTAAATCTATTTCTAGGAACTGAGGAATTATCCTGGTAGTTAGACAGTGACCATGCCACAATCTAAATACCAGAAAAAGGTCAAAAAATGCTAGCCTAAGGTCTTCAAGGAGACAAAAATTAATTAAAATTAATTAAAACGGTTATTGTGTAATTTATCCAATGCTAGAAACTGTGGAGGAAAACTATGACTCAGTTATTATAATGTGAGCAGCTACCCTAGAAAGTACAACTCAGCTCCCCATCCCAAAGGAAGAAACCACCAGAAAGAAGGGAAAGGATATACACTCAGTATATCACAAGTTCCTGGCACTTTGTCAGGCTTTTTTGTAACCCCTGCCCCTCTTACCTGGTATCTGAGAATTCCAAACTAATGACATTGAGGACTTTCTCCCTCTTCCCACTGTAATAATATTTCACAAAATCACCAAGTTTCATCTTGCAGTCAGCCTGGCGGGTCACGTCAATCACATCAATCTCTTTGTCAGAACCTGGGGCAAAGAGATAGGTTGTGCACCAAGTAGTCCAGGGACTGGGGAAGACTCATCCCCTCACCAGTCCCTGTAGTGGCCTTACACTCAAAGCTTCTCTCCTCAGACACTGTAAGTATATTGTGTGTTTGGGGGGTGGGGATAGGAATCCACCAAACTCTCCTTAAACCTATGTGTTGGGTCTGAGCCTACTACGGAAGTACCTGACACACAGCCTCACACATAGTACAGTCTACATTCTGGGCCCTGCTTCTCCACTCTTTCTCCTCTTCTCCCTAAAAACTCATGACTAGAAGACAAGTGGCATGTGAGTGCATGAGTCAAAGTCTTTCTTATCTCAACAGAAGACAGAGATACCATGATCCCTAGAATTCCTCAGTTGAAAAAATAGGGCTCAACATAGGATTATGTGGTCTATTAAAAGGAAAAGGAAGAGGAGACTAGGATTTTGGCTCTAGCTTTGCCAAAGAATGACTTTGGCAAGACACTTAACCTGATTCCCAAGACAGCTATAAAGGAAATACAAAAGGTAGACTGCTGAAGGGGAAGGGACATAGGTCTTGGGGAGAGTGAACAATGTTACTGTTAAGAGGGTCTGTGATGTCTTACCAACATAGTGTTCCACATCTCTCACAGTGAATGACGGTGAGGGCAGCGTCATCCCCAAACCATCCTTCTTCAAGACCAGGATGGGCACACTGAAGCTATTCTCTTCCAGAAATTCCACAGTCAGCTGACTTCCAGTGGGCTTCAGAATCACTTCATCTGAGCTGTAGGAAGCAGGAGAGAAAGCCTGAGCCTAAGGCCCTGCCCACTAAAGGCCTTACTGGATGCTGCCACTCACTCAAGATGCGGGGTCTTCCTTAGGGGACCTAATGTGGGCTGGCAACTAATGGCATAAACCTCATGTGCCAGAGAAGAAATAACCTGTCCAAGGCCAGAGGTCAGGTCACTGGCAGAGGTAGGAAATAGCCTGTCAATGACATGCTCTTCTTTGGATGACAAAGGAATAAATCTGTCAACAGTCTGCCCACAAAGAAAAGATAGGTCTTTTCAGCCAAGTTTAGTGAATTTGTTCTAACTCAGAGCAGCATCACCCAACTGAAAACACTGGCAAAGAAAGGTGAGCCAGGTGTGGTGGCTGGTGCCTGTAATCCCAGCACTTTGGGAGGTTAAGGCAGGAGGATTGCTGAAGGCCAGAAGTTTGAGACCAGCCTGGGCAACACAATGAGATCCCTTCTCTATTTTAAAAAAAAAAAAAAAAAGAGGAGCCTGAAGCGGGAGGGTTGCCTGAGCCCATGAGTTTGAGATTACAGTGAACTATGATCGTACCACTGCACTCTAGCCTGGGCAACAGAGTGAGATCCTGTCTCTAAAAAACAAACAAATAAAAAACACATTGGCAAAGGAAAAGACTGACGTAAAAAACCCAAAAGACAATTTTTACAATCACTTTCTCAACACACATACTCAGTTAACTAGAAACAGGAGTTTTTTTTTTGTTTTTTTTTTTTACAAAATCATGTTAGCGAAAAGATAGATTATTTGACAAGGGGTGTTGGAACAAATGTATTAAGGTCAATATCTATTCTACTCTTTACATAATTCTAGATGGTCTGAAGATTAAACTGTAAAAAATACAGCCATAAGAGTAGTAGAAAAAGATGGGAGAGACAAGGCCCATGTCATTTAACTACATAAAAATTAAAACTTTGGCCGGGCATGGTGGCTCCTATAATCCCAGCACTTTGGGAGGCCAAGGCAGGAGGATTGCTTGAGGCCAGGAGTTCAAGACCAGCCTGGGCAACGTAGTGAGACTCCATCTCTAAAAAAAAATAAAATAAAAATGTAGCCAGGCATAATGGCATATGCCTGTATTCCCAGCTACTTGAAAGGCTGAGGCAAGAAGATCACTTAAGCCCAGCAGTTTGAGGTTACAATGAGCTACGATTGTACTACTGCACCTGAGTGACAGAATGAGACCCTGTCTCTTAAAAAATTAAAATTTTCTGGCCGGGCACGGTGGCTCACGCATGTAATCCTAGCACTCTGGGAGGCCGAGGCAGGTGGATTGTTTGAGCTCAGGAGTTCGAGACCAGCCTGAGCAAGAGTGAGACCCTGTCTCTACTATAATCAGACAACTAAAAATATATAGAAAAAATTAGCTGGGCATGGTGGCGCATGCCTATAGTTCCAGCTACTCGGGAGGCTGAGGCAAGAGGATCGCTTGAGCCCAGGAGTTTGAGGTTGCTGTGAGCTAAGCTGATGCCACGGCACTCTAGCCCAGGCGAAAGAGTGAGACTCTGTCTCAAAAAAAAAAAAAAATTAAAATTTTCTGCAAGAAAACTATTGCAAACCAGTAAGAAACAGTAACACTGTAGAACAATTATCAACAAAAATAGGTAGGCATGGTAGTGCAAACCTGGAGCCCCAATGAGGCAGGATGGATTGTCTGAGCCCGGGAGTTTGAGGTTGCAATGAGCTATGATGATGCCACTGCACTCAGGCCCAAACAACAGAGTGAGATCCTGTCTCCAAAAAAACAAACAGAAAAAAGAAAAGAACAACAACAATAGAAAAATTATAGATACAAACAGGCAGAGAAAAAAAAAAGATGGCTTATAAATGTACAAAAATCTACTTATCCCCTTCATAATTAAAGAAATGTAACCAGAAATAAGATATTTCATTTATCATCTTACCAAAAAGTCAAAAAAAGTTTGATAATAAACAATGCTGGCCAGGATACAGGGAAATCAGCACCCTCATACGTTGTCTGTGGGAGTGTAAAATGGTATAGCCACTTTGGAAACAATTGGCAACATTTATAAATATTTTTAAAGCACATACTCTTTGACCTAACAATTTCACTTCTAGATAGTAAATCTACATACATACTCGACATGTGCAAAAACTTAAATACAAAGATATTCACTATAGCATTTTTCTCTAAAAATACTGAAATCAACTTAAATGTCCATCAATAGAGGACTGATTAAATAAATTGTACACCAAGCAATGTAATACTAAACAACCATGAAAAAGAATAATATCTATATGTGCTGTTATGGATTGATCTCCAAGACATATAATTTAGGCTTTGAAAAGAAGCAAGATGCAGAATATAGTATTTCCATTTATGTCAAAAAAAGAAAAAGAAGGATACACAAACACATATATGTTTGTATATGCAAAAACTATTTCTGAAAGAAGGCACAAGCAATTTGTTGGCTTTGGAGAAGGAACCTGAGGGGTATGGGGTAGAAGAGGAGACTCACTGCCTTTAAATAAACACAAAAAATATTAAGTTGGAAAAACACTTAATCGAAATAACACTTAGGTTACAGAAAATCTGAAAATGGACCAATGAATTAAAAACCAAGAAAAAGAGTGTTTTATTCAT